CAACAACAATTTAGTATATATTTATAATATTAAGAAATTTAAGTAAGAGCCTTTTATTTTGACAATTGGCGAAAAAGAAGATTATATTTTAAATTTTGACAAGTATCTTCTCTTCTGTTTGCTTATTATATCATTGTGGTAAGCATGTATACACATCTCATTCCCCAACATGTGTTCTCTGTGATGAGTGTTTATAATGCCCTATTTTATACAAACCTTGATTGATAATTGTTTTAAATAACATGCTTACTGCATTTTCAATACAAAGCCTACTAAAGGATACATTTGTATTGCGGTCTGGTTGAACTCAAGATGGCCTATAACGTACATTGTCAGTTTTCTTTGAGTTGAGTTTTGCACTATTGTGGTAATCTCACCATATATTGGTGGAAAATAATGAATTAAATATAGGAGTATAATAAAACTTTGGGATTGTTTGATACACTGTTTGCATAAAGAGTGGTTTAATACTACTTATTTGTATACTGGGAACAATGTAAGTTTGTAATTTATTGATTTGTCAACATATTTCCCCTGTTACAAACACGGGACCTGTGTCTACAGGGCTTCTGGAGGCTCATCCTGTGTGGAGGATGTGACAGCCATTGTTCAATGGGTGGTGGATTCTCTCATGCATACTGGGCCTGTTCCTCATGTCCATTTAGCTGACACTCTCTCTCCTCGGTTTGAACATGACTAGGATGACTATGAATTTGACTGTTTTCCAACAGTGTTTGCTCTAGGTGCTGCTTTATCTGTGGAAGAAAACCATCAAATTTCCATCTTTTTCTTGATATGATTTCACGGGTATGTTCTTTACTTTCTATTTCTTCTGTGTCATTTAATTCCTTCAATTTTTGGGGATTCATGAAGTATTTTCAAGATTATTTTATCTTCCCTATCTCCTAATATTAGGGTTCGTGCAGACTTGTTTCTTGAACAAATGCAAACCTATACTTACATGCCTCGTTTTCTTTGCCTGCTTTACTTTTTTGCCCTGGCTTACAGCCATTCTTCTTTTCTTTCTCTTGGTTTCCAATCTTTAGAATCTCTTTTACCTGCTTTGGGATTGGACTCCTTAACTTTTGTTTCACTGTCTAATGCCCAGTTCTCCCATGTTTGCCTCTTTCTTATCTCCCTCCTATGTTACCTCTCGTTGCTTACCTTTATTTCTGAAGCACTTAATCATGCTCCAGATGGGTTTTCTCGAGAGGTTTATTCTCTCATTTTTACCACTTGCTCATACTACTACTACTGCTTTATCCCTCTTTAATTGGTTCCTCTGATGTTGGGTTGGGATGCTCTTCTAACTAACGTTTACCCCACTCGTATCTCTGTTGGGCTCGTTTTCTTTGCCTGGATGTCTTTGGGGCTTCCTGACTCTCTGGAGACC